CATACACTTCATAAAATCATCAAAAGTCATCTTAAATATACTTTCAGCTATTATTCATCACAATATTGACTAAGTATCATACAATTTAAAGTAATTGGTAAGATTTTAAAGTATAAAAATAAACATAGCTTGAAGATGTCTTGAGTTTTTTTCCTGTAGATTGTTATTAAGGTATTTGATAAGGAGAACGACTGGTTGATGGAAGTAATAATTCTACACCTAACCCTTGAAGTTTTATATGGCTTTCAATAATGAATCACACAGACAATGAGATTTATGAGTGTTCCTTGATACCAGGAACACAAATATAATTTTATTTAAATTCATGATTTGATTGAGTCCAATAACAGTCCCATCTCATGCTGCAAGAGTCATGCTTGATTGAAAAGTAGTTAATCCTAGACCATAATTGACGAAAGTTTCAATTTTACTAAAATTTGAAAGGAAATACTTTTGTGAGTTTCTTACCCGAAACGAACCAGGCGTAAAAATGGAAAATCAATCAATCTAGCATCCACGATGGCTTGAACGCAGCACAATGCCAGATCTGGTGAACCTTTGGGAACATTTGGTGAACCTTTGGGAAGATTTGGGGAAATCCGGCATGGTACCACGTTCATACCATCGTAGAAGTCAGATTAACTGCCATTTTCAAATCGTGTGCCTTTCAGGACAGTTGCTGCTCAATAACACTTGTTTAAAGAGATGCTTCATTAATTTAAAAACATAATCTTGTCTACCACAACTTGTAAACTCTACCCTCAAGGCAAAATACCCTTCTCCCTAGTGATATTCCCCCAATGTCCTCAAGTTTAAAGATCCATTCACCTTCCACTTTTAATATTGATAAGAAATTTTCATTCTTCTTTTTCCTATCCTTATTTTCTTATCTCAATAACATCAGAATAATGAATTGACCTTTGTTGAGAGGGATTTGAAGAAAAACCTTTTTTGTATATTTTTTGAAATTCAAGATTAGAAACAATTGAGGATGAAGAGTAGCAATTGGAAGGTAATATAAGAAATAAATACAAATAAAATAATATGAACTAAATTAAAGGACGACTCAAAAGAGATGAAAGAAGAGGAAAATAAAGTAAAGCTGCACTGAAGACAATAAAGCACGATAAATAGACATACTGAAAGATATTTTATGTTTTTTTTCTCTCCTTCAAGTGCTTCTATTTCATTAGCTATTTAAGTACAAACACAAATAAAATTTCATGTCAATAATGTAAGGCGAGAGGAATGTTTGGTGATGAAGCATATGGTTCGTAAAACCACGAATTGAATTTTCACAGCTTCACTGTCTGCTTACTGCTCTTGTTCAGGAAGATAGCAAGAAGTGAAGAATAAATAAATATGGAACAAAATGTTGCGGATATTGCTTTTTTATCTTGAAGCTCTTATAGGAAAGAATGTCGATGGTTTATGAGAGTATTGATGAATTCAAGGGATGGGATTCGGATTGAAATTGGATTTATCCTATTCAAAATTTATTGATTAGGTTCAAAGTTAAGCAATCTTGTTCAAAACTGATTGGTTCAGTTCAAATTAATTGAAAATTGATTGATCCTGTTCAAAATTGATGAAAACAGTTAAAAATTGATTGATCCGGTTCAAAATTGATCAAAACTATGGAAAATTGATCGATTCAGTTCAAAATTGATTGATCAGGTTCAAAATTGATTGATCTGGTTCAAGATTGATTTATCAGATTCAAAATTAAAAACTTTTGCTTGAAATTGGATTGATTTTGTTCAGAAGTGATTGATCCAGTTCAATAATTGGATTGATCTTACTTAAAATCGATTGATCCGGTTCAAAATTGATCAATTTAGTTCAATATTATTGATGCGGTTCAAGATTAAAAAATTTTGTTCAAAAATAAATTAATCCGGATCAAAAATCGTTGATCCAGTTCAATAATTCATTGATCCGGTTCAAAAACTCAAAGTGAAGTAAAAGTATAGAGTAAAAAGTAAATGCCCATCACTTGGCTTCGGCTTATTTGAATTCACAAAAAAGTAATTCAAGTCGACAAAAAACGCTCTCACTCTCAAACGTACATACATTTTTTTGGGTCAAATGCGTTCGATGACAAAACGATGTTTTGCACAAAAAAAAATCAATTATTATTTACAGGCGGAAGCAGACGAATGATGTAAGATTTGATGTATTCGTCGGCTGTGTGAAGAGGAAAAGTCATAAAAAAGCTGAGACATTTGCGGGGGTTTGTAATTCAAGCATTGTTATTCATTACTGAATTGAAGATGAATGCGATCAAAAATTTCAATTTTTTATAAAAGAAACGGAAACGTCTTTTTGGCTCATACTCACAACAAATCTGCATGAGCAGGCGAAATTCTTTTCAATGTTATTAAATTCTTTTTTTTACATCCTACGACGTATGATCAATGCATATAAACAAACATTTCTCTTAAAAATAACAAAAGGCTGAATGAAAAAGAAGACAAAATCTGAATAAAAGGAACGAGCAAAAAAAAATTGTAAAGCGGTTTCGATAATAAATTTCACATTAAAACCATAAAACTTTTTCATTTCATTCCCTTTGGAATGATTTTTTTAATATAAGAAGCAAGAAAAAAATATTTTAAGGCATTTAATATTTTTAATGTAAGCTGCTCTGTAGAGCAGAATTCAATTTGCATATGAAGCAACTAGCTCAGTAATACTATGAATAAGAACATTCTTTAAGACTTTTTACATGAGAGATTATTTTAAGGGATTGCAATTTCTTGGGAGCTTTTTATTCTATGAACCATGTTCTGCCTTTTTCTTCTGTGGTTGTTGCTTTTACTGGTTTTTTGGAATAGAAACTGGATGGGCATGTGCGGTGTAATTGGAAGATTAAAGAGTTTGTGAGATGTAATTAAATTGATGGACTAAAGTTTGTCTGGATATGATCTTAAAACTTCACATACTCATCTTCAATTCATTCTTTAAAGCCATTCTATCCACATATCTAAATAAAATCCTCACAGAACTCTTATTGATGTCTGAATCCTAATAAAACATTGCATTGCATCTTGTCACCAAAATGACATTTTAAAGAAGCAATGAACTTGAAAATCGTTTGGATTTCCACCACAAAACTGCAATGCATTGCAAATTTTATGAGCGCTTTACGTGATTGAAATTTTTTTGCCTACACGATTCGATATATATTGACTTTTGATGCACTTATAAAGCAAAAAAACGATCACAAAGCGAACTTTTTGATTCAGAATTTAAAATACAGAGAGAAAATAAAATCCAATTAAATTATTTTCATTCGATTGTTGGAGCTTGAAATTGTTGATCGGATAAATATTTTTTTTTCTTCATGACTAATTTAATTTTGAATGATTTTAATTGCCTGAATTAAAAGTAATCAATTAATCAATATAAAGAACACGTTTCAAGCAGAGTTGCGATCTGTCACAGGCACAGATGTGTCACAGATCTGTCACAGATCTGTTAAGTCTGCCCACAGATATAACAGATCTGTGCGTATGACAGACCAAAAAAATATTGCCTGTCACAGGCTTTGACAGATCTGTTACTTGTGCCTGTGACAGGCGACCTGTATCGCAACTCTGGTTTAAAAGTTGAATTTTTGAATTTTTTAGTGAATTTTATGTTTTTTGAAATATTTTGAAGGCTATAATATAATAATATAATCCTTTTATTAATTTTAGTGTGATCATGGCGACAAATTGAAAATTGTTTGATATTAACCTATTCGGTTTTAAATCAAATGCAAGTAGAAAATTTTTTTTGGATTACAACATGAGCTAATTAGCATGTTAAGAAATAAAGTTATGGTTGAAAAAGTATTCAAAAAAAAACCAAAAAATTATATACAAATAAAAATAAAAAAGTAATTAAGATAGCAAAAAGAGAAATTTACATGAAGAAGGCTATAAATCAAATCACAGTTCTACTAAATTGGAACAAACTTCAAATTCCATCATCAATCCACCAATGTTCCACACCTCTTGAACTTTAGCAAAACAAAAAAATAACCATCTCATAAATAGAGTAATAATGAAGTTCACTAACCACAGTTGTTCAAAATCACATCGAAAATATTTTCATACGATGAGAATAGCTCAATCAGATTGAGCATGTTGTGTGGCAAATTATGGTCAGAACAATCTAAAATCATCCCATTTTTTGGGGTGGTTTTGCTTATTGCTACTGATTGCTACAAGCATTCCCAACATGATAGTTTGATTTTCTAGTCCATATTGGGTGAAAGTTTTGAGAATATTGAGTATCTAGTTTAATATGTAATTTTGGTGTTCATTTACTGATGTTGAGGATTGAATGTAGAGGAAAATCAGTTTATGAAAAGATTCGTTAGGAGAGTGAATCTCAGAAGTAAAGAGTAATGACTTAGTTTACAGAGTCTTTAGACTAATCTAGTACTTCTTACTTCCTTGGCTTGGGCGCACGTGGGAACGTAGCCCATTGCCACGTTAAGAGATCGTTTAAAGACAGCTCTATCCTTCGAGACCTTCTGCCAGTTCAGGATATTAAGGACTCTAGCGTCCTTATTAACACATCCAATCAAGGCAACACATCCAATCCAGGTAGACTAATAACAATTAATATTTTTGGCGGGAAAATTAATTCCAAACCAGTTCCACCCTAATACTTTTAATACAAACACGTAGCCATCCTGACTCAATTATAGAATATCAAAATGACTGAGTAATGAAAAAAATCAATTAAGATTTTCTTACGAATCAAGTGGAATAGCTTTACATTACTGTAATTAAGTTGACTAATTAATCAATAACTGAAGGAGTCAATCTTCATTCAGTTACAAGCACACTGAATAATGAAACTTTATTATTTATATCATGTAGCATGAGTTTTTAAGTGGAAATAAAAATTAATTAAGATTCCTTTTAATAATCACAAGAGCCTTTGCTGATTTTGCATTTTAAGTTGATGACATGGATTGATTATAGCTCATGAATAATACATACGAAATATTTCTTATAATGTAATCTCAACATGTGCATTTATTCCTCCTTTATGGCACTTCACAATTTGTCTTTTTTTATGCAAAAAATATTTCTTTTTTTAATGAAGTTGTAAGATAATTAACACGTCATGCAAAGGCACACACCGAGCACTAAACAGCTGAGTTTTTCACTCTCTTTTATTTTATTTCTTCCTTTAATTTTTTATAAGTTTTTCACTCTCACCAAAACCACTTCGTTATGCCGGAAAGTGATTAAATCTATTTGAAAAATTATTTTCCGGACTCTTGACAAAGTGCGACAAAAAATATGTTGGCACTCACGAAATTGGAATGCATGAAAAAAATAAATAATGTTGAATTATAAAATCGACACGGAGATGATGATATTGTTAAACATATGTCACAGATGGAGTCACTTTTTATATCCTTCTTTTTTTCTGTTCTAGCCGCAAATCGTAATTATTAAAAAAATATTCTCATAAATTTATATACACATGAACACAGCAGCTGAATATTTCCTTTCCTTGATTTTGGGAGTCTTTAACTCTCATTTGCACTCACGATTCACGATTAATTCAAATTTTAAAGATTTCTAATTGAATTTTAGTTCCTCTACAATTTGTCTTCAATTTTCTTTTTCGACTAATTCAATTAGATGAACATGGCAATGAAACATATTGAAATATTTACACTGATTTCGGGTACTGCCACAAATTTTAAGCAGTCTCGTAAATTTCTTATTTACTTAAAATTTTTGTTTTGCTTCAAAAGACACTTAAAGCATGTATGCGAGAGAATAAAAAAGTTTATTTGCACTTCTCTTACTTTTTTTTTAGATTATTTTGTCAAGTCAAGCTCGCGGAAAATGGCAATTCAATGAATTTGATAGCCCTATCCATTCGAGATCTCTAATCAAACTGAACACACAACATTGAGCGGAGTGAAAATAGAAGAAAAAAAAATATATACTTTGATGTCTGAACTTCAGCACAACTTGTATTTTTTTCCACAGCTGTTCTTTTCTTTCCTGTCTCTATGACTCGAGAAACGAATGGAAATAAATGGTACGGTGCGAAAAAAAAAATCTTATGCGTTGGAAATGTGTATTGCGAGAAAATCTCAGTGTTGTACAGCATTCAATGGCTGTATACGTGCACATTGGAATGTAAATTTACTTGAGGAATTTTCTCATCTACAAACACAATCAAGCATTCCAGTGAGTAAATTTTCCCATTCGGGTGTCATGACGTCATTAATTTGAGAGAAACTTTTCGTTTCTCATTTTATTTTTGTGATTTTTCACATGCGAACCTTTAAGAACTATATCAGATGCTTTTTATTTGATAATAAAAACAAAACGCACTAACACATTATGGTTGGATATAGACATAAATATATCTAGATATACGCTCATGATGATGTTGATGATGATAGTAAGGACCTTTACTATGCATTCAATTATTCAAATCATGATCAATTTAAATCAATTCTTATGGTCATGCCTCATTTGTTATGCTTAACAGAAATTTTATGAAGCAAAAATAATGACAACAGAAATCAAAAATTTTACTCAGCCATTAATTCACCCATCCCTTTGTCAACTCATTCATTAGCTGATGTGCTTATATACATACACACATAAAATATCATCACTTGATATCTTCACGCATTTTATCTTCATTTAAAGGCACAAAAAAGTCTACACTTAATTAATTATATGGAAGGATGGAGTTAAAGTTTGAATGGGATTTTGATAACGCGTGGATTGAGCGCTTTTTGTTGAATCATGTAAGGGGCCATTCACTTATTACGTAACGCTTTTAGGGGGGGGGGGGAGGGGGGTCTAAGATTTTGTTACGGTTCAAACAAGGAAATTTTTTTTTCATACAAATTTTGTTACGGGGGGGGGGGGGGGGGGTCTAAAAAGTCATTTTTTCGCGTTACGTAATAAGTGAACAGCCCCTAAGCTTTATCAACTTTAACTTACTTGTTAAATGCTTTTGACAAATTTCTTAATTTATTCAATATTAATTCAAATTTTAACGAACTTTTCCGAATTTGAATTAGTTCATGTTAACAGATTAAGATAAAAACAAAATGGCTGCTCCAAAATGCTTCACTTCAAGTTTTATTTTACTTATTTTAAGCGAATCAGACATTTTTTCTCAAACATCAGCTTAAAAACTTCTTTAAAAACATAGCAAGAGTAGAATGCATTAGATTTAAACACAAGATAAAACTCTAAAAGCTCAAAATATCAATTTTTCGACATCTGCACGAAAAAAACCGGCAAAAACAATATTTTTCTGCAACTAAAAGAATTTAATTCGAAACGAACTATAAAAATAAATAAAATTTTTCCACAGAAAATGCATTAAAATTTCATCAAAATCGTAGCAAAAAAAACAGAGTCAATCCCATCTGAACACATAAAAACACTCGAAATCTCGAGATTTTCTTAGAAAAAAAAATTTATATTCATTCATTCAGTCAGACAGTCAATAACTCATACAATAACAGTTTCATTTTCAAGGAAATTCAGCTCAAAACACGAACGAGGATGGAAGGAGATACAGACACTTTTTATGTACGCATCTCTCACTATACGCATTTATGTTTTAATTTAATTAGGGGATAATTAACTTTGACATAGGGGCCATTCACTTATTACGTAACGCTTTTAGGGGGAGGGGGGTCTAAGATTTTGTTACGGTTCAAACAAGGAAATTTTTTTTTCATACAAATTTTGTTACGAGGGTGGGAGGGGGGTCTAAGAAGTCATTTTTTCGCGTTACGTAATAAGTGAACAGCCCCATATATATGTGATTATTTGTGACATTTTTATTTACTCACATTCTTCAAATGTTGAACTTTCATCGTTATTCTGGGTCATTTCCTTCTCCTTGCAGTACTTAAAGACTGTAAATTGGAATGTGATTAATATTTTATTGCTAATGAATTGGAAAGGAAAGTCTTACCTTTATTACAGCAATATCTTAAAATTCCCGATCCAAATTTATGCTTCCGATGTGTACTGCCTTCCTTTCTTGATTCTGCATCGGTTGAAACATCGATATTAAGTTGCTCAACTTCTGAAAATAATGCACAGAATATAAGCTAAATGAGATATTCTCCCTTCGGAAAATTAAAAAAGTGTTTCTTTTTGTTGGAAACAATTTTGTAGGTATTTATATGAATTAAACACACAGAGAGATTCCGCTCGCAGAATTATAAATTAGCCTTTATGCGGAAAAATTAATTTGATTAATGCGGAATGATTTCATCGGCAGAAAGTTTTATTTTTGGAGCATATATTACACCTTTCTGACTTTATGCAATGACATGTGATTTTAAGCAGATCCAGTAACTACGTAAGTGAGAAAAAAAATATTAATAATTTTTTTATGGCTCGTCAATCATCAAGATTCAAGTTTATAAACTTTGTTTGGATTTTCGCAGATCATTAGAAGACTCGTCCGTACCTCTTTCAATGTTTTTCTCGTTCAGTAAATTAACGAAGGTAATGCGTTGTTTGAAAAAAGCATCAATTGTAAACGCAGATGTGGGGTAGAGATGGGGAGCTTGGAACGATGTTTTACAGTTTTATCAAGACTAAATCATTGCTGAATATTAGAAACCCAGGTGACCAATGGCTCCACTTGATGGATCAAGTAGGACCAAGAGCTATTGGATTTCAAAAATCAAATTCAAATATTGAGCATTCGAATCATTAATTTTGCGCATTAATAACTTAACGCACCCCTCATTCCTCTTATCATGCAATCATCTCACATGCCCAACCCTGACTACTAATAGCACGCTAATGCAGACCGCCCGCATTCAAGCGAAAAGTATTAATGAAGAAATGAATAATTACAGCAGATACTAGAGAGGAATCTCTATGATATGGTACACAATTGTAATTTCTTTCTTTCTATAAATACAGAACGAATGAAAATTTATTGAGAGAAAGAACTCAGGAAAGAAAATAGGAAAATAAATGTTGCGGATAAAAGAGCTTCTCTCTTCTCTACTTTATTTCGCATTGTGTACGAGGCTAACTAGTAAATATCTGTTTGTATACTTTCCTTGAAAATGAAGAAGCCATAAAAGTCACTTTGTCTTCAACATTGAATTATTTCCATTAGATTTGATGTGCATTATGCATATGTCAATAAAATGTGAATATATTCATGGTTTCGACTTTCACCTTTACATTGAGTTTTCAGTCTTTGAAGAAGGTTTCCCGAGAAAAAACCCATAGAAATGCTTGTATGACAATTTTAGCAAGAAGACATGGAGTTTTAATTCCAAAATTTAATATTGATTCTCCAGTTGAGTGTTGAAATGTTAAAATTAGATTTAAGAATATTTGTGCTAAATTTAGACTCACGAGGAAAGGAATTTTGAAGAGACTTTTATAAACAAAGTATATACATCAGTAAATAAGATCTAAGAGATGCATAACTCAGCATAATAGCAACTTTCAATTGGCATATATGGTCAAGCTGGAAATTTTGTTTCATCAGACCATCTTAAATATTCTTTTAAATTGTTTGCACATGCAAGATATTCTGTTATTCACAACTTGTTTTTTTGAAGGTAACTGCAGAATGTCAGTATGGCTTCCTTTTGGATGGCTCATTTTTTGTGGGGGGTTCAGCAAGTTTGTCTAAGAGTAAGACTGATTGAGATTTAAACACTGCATCTTTACCTAGATCTGGGACCGTTTTTTTGGGGTTCCAAAGAGCAGCCAGGGAAGGAATGAACTTCAATGGACTAAAATATCAGGAATTAACATAACTTATCTGAAACTAATGTAGGGTAGTTCTAGATACCAGGCTCAGACCAATATACTTAGATGCATAGATCAGACCTTTAGTCATAAATGCATAGATTAGACTGCATGGTGCTGACATGGTGTTGACATGGTGCTGGCTTCAATTTAAATCCAGCACCATGCCAGAGTCGGAATATTGATCAATTAACCGACTTGTGTCTTTCGGGTTTAACACTCAGACAGACAGTTCTTACTTAGACTCTCAGGACAAACTGTATCAATCTTGATGCCTTGGTTTCGAATGTTATATAAAGAGTGTCGTGACCGTAACATTCTTGGAATCGAACCCGCACCCACAAAAGGATTCACAGTCAATGATTTTCACAAATTTTGCAGTCTGACGAACTCAAACATGTTTATTCTTTATAACAAAACCACAGACAACACACAACTTCCTTCAAAGTTTCACAACCTTCCTCACGTGACCACAAAATGCGCTAAAATCACAAGCCACACATATGTGTAATCATTCCAACTAGTTAGTCATTCCATTTCTTCTTGGCTTCTTTATTTAAATTTTTTTTTTGATTATTTGGCGCAGTTCCAATTAGATTGACTGCAGCATAAAATGCTGACTGAACAAAAATTTGATCGGGTGAGAATAAAAGAGTGCAATTGACATTGCAGCTCCGTTCAAGCATTGAGTCTGATTAGCTCAAATTTATTTCATTGTACTAGTTTATGGCTTAATTTATGTCAGATT